GGGAAAGAGCGAGAACCCCATCGAAATGACGAGGAAGGTAGGACCGGTGGACGCGATCTAAGAGAGAATGTTTACATTCCAGATTACCCGATTACACGAAAGGCATCTTTCAGAGTATCGGCTTCAAGGAGTTTCACCCTTACCTCATACTGTCCGAAGAGGAGCGCGCGAGCGAGAAGGTAAGTCGACTGTGGCAGATGGCTCGTCATCAGTAGAATATGTCCGTGCGATCGTTTCTGAGCAGCTGTTTCAGAGATCCCCAGCTCTTTTTCTACACCATTAAGGTGTACCGCGCGATTTGCGACAGTCTAGCTCTGCGGTTGTATCGCTCTTCGCGGTGTCTCGTGATCCTTTTTACTTCTGTCATTGCACGGTATCGCATTCGAATGTACGTCGCGGCTTTTTACGAGCTTCTTCGGTTTTAATGTCATCAAACTGTTCTGTGATGCTCGGAAGGAAAAAAGAATATTCGCGAAGGGAAGATCGAACGCATGCATAAGATATGACACATCTAAATTATTATTCGAATGTGCACGCATTGATAAGAAATACATTTTATTCGATATAGTTCATAGAATATAAAACATATATGTATATATATATATATATATACACACATTTCATATAAAGATGCGTGTATTATATAATACATACGCACTGTGTGTTAAGGCATGTTTATAAAACTATTAAAATATTTTGTGATATAATATAAGCACTTTAAATAAAACATGTTTAATTCATTTTATTACTTTCTTATATTGAATAGAAAGTTGAAACTCTGTCATGACATATTTTATTTCATACAATTTTGAATTTGTAAGCCGGTTTTAGATAGTAAAATCATCGATACAACATAAATTATTAGCAAAAATAGAAAGAAATCGTATATAATGTATAACTAATGTTCGTTTAAATGTTAAATTTATACAGGGGAAGAAATTACTACAACAAGGAATCGATGATTTAAAACTCGTCACTAGGAGATATGCCAAGAAGCAAAATAAATGGGTGATGAACAGACTGATTCGGCGTGGCGATCGACAGGTAATTCATTTAGCTCGCTCCATTCATTAACAATATACGTGTTTGCACTGTAAGTAGTAAATTGTCTGAAATAACTTCAATTCATCATCATTTATCATAAATCATCTTTTTTACGGAATACATAAGTAACTAAATTTGAGGAAAGTATAAATCATGCTTTTTGCTTTTTTTCGAGGTTCCTCCTATTTATTCTTTAGATTGCACCGACGTGACGAAATGGGACAGCCGCGTCCTAGAACCCGCAGGAGAGATCGTTTCCGCAATAATACGCGGTGAAAAACCCGAACAGAGACCATTGAATGAAGATTTCGAAAACCAAAAAACTACTGACAGCAGTACAAACACATATCACTATTGCGAGGTAATAATGAAGAAAGGGCCTTAACAATTTATTTTACGATGTATTCATAATCAAAATCGTAATAAAAAAAAATAAATATATATATATATATATAATTATTTTAATAATTTTTGATATGTTTTCATAGTATCATAACTTGTGATAATTTTGTTTTATTCAAATTTAAATGCAGCAAATTATATTGTGCAAGTAATATAGAAATTTAATAATCTTAATTTATGTTAAACTTTAGATATATGAAACGGAACCACCAATGCGTTTGACGATCAAATTCTGTTAATATCTTGTGTCTTGTTTAATAAAATTGTATTGAATGTTTCTAAATGTCAAAATAAAAAAATTGTTGTTTATCTACTGTTCCCAGGTATGTGAGAAGATATTTGTCGAAGAGAATCAATGGCAGGCACATTTGAAAGGTGCGAGGCACATGAGAGTCTTGAAAAAGAAGAACAGAGCGGAGAAGGCACAGGCCCAAGAAAATCAATTGACGAGCTCATGACACGTATCAGTTTCGCTATAAATGCGCGAATATTCATTCTTGCGTTTATGTCTAGCGATCAAACTATCAGAACTGTGATTATATTTGTATAACAATGCATTTTACGAACAATTATCAATGTAAATATATTACACGCACGAAAAATAAACTTATATTCTTAAATTCGGTGAATTCTAGTTACCAGTCGTTGGAAGATACAAATAAACGTCAGTGCCCCTTTGCTGTGGTAAAATAGATTCCTGCCACATATCCAATAACTCATCTCCTGATGGTAATATTCGACTACAGATCTTGTTCCAAGCATTGGTGGGACATTGATCAACAATAGGTAAGCTATCAAGTGAAAAATAAGTCACTTCGTCGATGTATAATAAAAAATCACTCACTTTAAATAAATATTCTATCAAATGGATAAAATTGAAGAGCACTGAGAAGTAACAAGTATATTAAGTTAGTCAATACATATAAATATCTACAAAATGTTGAGGAAGATAATATTAAATCAAAATTATGTATAATTTTATTTTATATTTAATTGATTAAACAATAATTGTTATTTTTAAAATTAATATTTCGCAACGCGTTGTTTTTCAGATGTGTCCAGAAAATGATATTAGAAACGCGTAATATTACAATAAATCAATAATCAGTAGTATTGATGCATCAGGCGAACAATACGAATGGAACACAATGCGAACTACATGCATTGTATTCCAATTATAGTCTTGCATTGAAGTGCGAAAAGATGCTCTTTCAACTACCAGCGCTAAGTTAATTTATTCACGCGAATAAATTCTTTCCGCTCCTCTAATATGTTATAATAATGTCGATTATATACGCTGTTACAAAACAATAATTCTTCACGAACGTCATATTACAATATTGTGCGAAATCTTTTTCTTTTTAAATATAAATTATATTTCATGGAGTTGAAGATAATATTTCTTAACGAGTAAAGTATGTTATCGCAATAAAAAACAATGTTCGTGATAATACATTATCAGAGATAAGGTAAAAAGATTAGAAGCACAGTTGTCGATAATTGAAATTTCTACAAATTTTTTTTTAGGTTTCTTATAATTTCAAATATTCTAAAATCTCAAGTCATCTTTATGAGTTCCTTTAAAATTATCACGATATAACGCGTTTTTTATTGGCGCCGAATGTACAACGTTGGCTATGCCATAAATATGAACAAGTATAAATAAACACATATACATACGTTGTCACGCGACGTATGTTCAAGAGGACACATGCTTCGGTTGCGTGCAGTTCACCGCTTACCGAGTCATTGTACCCTGGCACGCACTAATCGCTATTACATATGCACGTTGCATTAAGGCAGGTCGCTGATGCATGTCGGCAAGAACAGAGACTTTCGAGTAGGAAGCGACTTGTTCATTTCGCTCGGAACGGGATTTTACAACGGAACGCAGATTTTTTGAAAGTGAATTTTTCGTAGTTGATTGTGTGCGTGAATCTAACAATTCTAAATTTTTATGAGAGATCTTCATCTTTGCCCCCAAATATTTTCCAGACGATTACAGTGAAGATTAGACTTTGCGAACAAATTATCATTTTGCACATGAAGGATAAAATATTCGTATGATAAAATCCTTTTCATGAATACTACGAAGGGTCAAGGATTTTTATTTGCATAAAATTAACACAAATATAAATCCTCGACTCTTCGTTGATATTTCTGTGTAGTTTGATATTTCTCGAAGCGAGCAAACTTTGATTGTTGCATAAATTGGAATAGAAAGCCGGTGGAACAGGCGACAAAGTGCTGCGGCAGATTCGATTTTACACAAAGACACACGATACGCTGCCAAGTAATTATTACACGGAATAATGGCTCGCTTGCAGTCTCGTGATACCAATATTGCGGTGAAAGATTGCTACAATATGTATGCAATCTTTGTGTGCTGTATGGGACGTGATTCACAAAGTTAAAACAAAAAGAGCCATCGATCGCGCCGTCTTACAACGGATCGTTAACTTGATCACCTTGCACCATTTTTTGCTAATTATCCAATCATGCCGGTGATGAATAATATATAACTCGCGTATCTCGACTATTCTAATAATTTATGTATCCTGAAGACAGTAAAATGTGATTCGCTTCGTCTCTTTCAGGTACGTATAATGAATTTTATTACAGAAATTACGTTTGCATAATGCATATTATTTTTATAATTTTTTATGAATTGATAATATTTATTGAATTCATCGCGCACGTAATTATTTCTGAAATATTCTTTTTCGAAAGTCTTCTTTCGTAAATTTATCTCTTCCTCCATGTTTATAGATCTTGTCGCGAGATTGATACTATTTTTAGATTTGGCAGCATTTGCGGGCTTTCTTCCTTCATTCTGGCGTTCAACGAACGAGTTCTCACATCGTCGTATGCACCTGACGGAAACATGTGCGGGTATTTACGCGTCAGCTGGACAATCAGCTTCACGTTTGCCGCTTCATGAGTCATTGCCCTTGTAATGCGCGATTCTTATCGTTGGCGCGCTTTTCCACGATGTTAATCCGTTAACATATGATATTTACGCGCTCTGATAAGTCGATCGAAATCGATAAACTGTTAGATGGACGCGCGATTAAATCTTTTCTCACAATATTGCCGATAATTACAGAATCGCGTTTTCAAAAAGATTCTTATAGCGAATTTTAAAATAACGCCTGTTCAATTACGACAAGATTATTTGATTGTGTGAATATGTATTTATAAAAAGTCATAAATAGAACGCGATTGTATGCGATGTATAACATTAATAATAATTCATATTAATAATAATTTATATTAAAAGTAATATAATATAAGAATTGAATATAGGGGAAAATAGGGTAAAATCGGATAGGCGGATCAAACCGGGTAGCTCTGTTTTTTCGTGATAAATGCTACTATCTTTGGCTAATTTGTGTTATTAGTTTTAGATTGATGCCATCATTATTTTGAGATGAACCGTGCCCACGTGCACACGATACTTTTTTTTGAAAGAAGTTCAAAATTTTCTGGCCAAGAAAGACCGAAATCAGGGCAACCTCATCGAGTCGTTATGGATTTTTTCTACACAGAGCATCTGCTTCGGTAAATGCAGCATTGCATTCTGTACATATTAGAGAGTATATCGCATTAGTTTTGATCGTCATTTTGTACGCCGGAATATACAGCCGTGTTTGTTATTTTCTTCGTGTTGGGGCAAAACCGGGTACCTATAAAACATTTTTCTTAAATTGGCTTATATTGCTGCACTGTATGCTTTGCGCAGCACATGTACGCGTTCGCGATTGTGTGCGTATGTAGTAGGTGCCGGTCTTGCTGCACATATCTGTGATTGTCGTGTATTTCGTGATTCACATTTTTTATTGTTGCGTACGAGAAAAGGTAAGAGCTTTTTGATAATATTATGTTTTATTATAGTGACCTAATATATTATGCATTAATTAATTATAATAGAATAGCATGTCCTAAGGTTAATAACCTATATAACCTTAAAATTATTGAGATCGCAAAAGTAAAAATTATATTTATCTATGATATATGTTTGTATATTTTTTATGTGGATATTTTTTGCTTTCTTTAATTTTCTATTTTGCTGTAGATATTAACTTTAAAATATTTGATAAAAATATTTATGTATATTTGCAGTATGTATATTTTTATGTAAATATGAATTTTAACTCCTATTTTATTTTTACAGACATTTAACAAAGGAAAACAATAATGGACAAAATTCAATAAATTATTAGTGGTAATAAAAGCGGCGCGTAAAGCTGAACCATTTTTATATATTTCTCTAATATAAAAAAAAATATATTTTTATTTCGTGAACATGTTAAGTGCAATAATATGTTATGTGCAATGTTATGTTATTTATAACGTTAACATAAGTACAAATAAAGACATTTAATTACAATGTATCGCCAATAATTACACCAAAAATAAATATATATACATTATTGCAAATTCATTACATTGCAATGTTGCTATAATATTTTGTTGCAATATTCCTGAAAGCGGACATTTTATCATTGCTGCAATTCCACAGCAATGATGCAGCAACATTTTGCAGTGAATTTGCAAAGTTGCAATATTGCGGTGAAAGATTGCTACAATATGTATGCAATCTTTGTGTGCTGTATGGGACGTGATTCACAAAGTTAAAACAAAAAGAGCCATCGATCGCGCCGTCTTACAACGGATCGTTAACTTGATCACCTTGCACCATTTTTTGCTAATTATCCAATCATGCCGGTGATGAATAATATATAACTCGCGTATCTCGACTATTCTAATAATTTATGTATCCTGAAGACAGTAAAATGTGATTCGCTTCGTCTCTTTCAGGTACGTATAATGAATTTTATTACAGAAATTACGTTTGCATAATGCATATTATTTTTATAATTTTTTATGAATTGATAATATTTATTGAATTCATCGCGCACGTAATTATTTCTGAAATATTCTTTTTCGAAAGTCTTCTTTCGTAAATTTATCTCTTCCTCCATGTTTATAGATCTTGTCGCGAGATTGATACTATTTTTAGATTTGGCAGCATTTGCGGGCTTTCTTCCTTCATTCTGGCGTTCAACGAACGAGTTCTCACATCGTCGTATGCACCTGACGGAAACATGTGCGGGTATTTACGCGTCAGCTGGACAATCAGCTTCACGTTTGCCGCTTCATGAGTCATTGCCCTTGTAATGCGCGATTCTTATCGTTGGCGCGCTTTTCCACGATGTTAATCCGTTAACATATGATATTTACGCGCTCTGATAAGTCGATCGAAATCGATAAACTGTTAGATGGACGCGCGATTAAATCTTTTCTCACAATATTGCCGATAATTACAGAATCGCGTTTTCAAAAAGATTCTTATAGCGAATTTTAAAATAACGCCTGTTCAATTACGACAAGATTATTTGATTGTGTGAATATGTATTTATAAAAAGTCATAAATAGAACGCGATTGTATGCGATGTATAACATTAATAATAATTCATATTAATAATAATTTATATTAAAAGTAATATAATATAAGAATTGAATATAGGGGAAAATAGGGTAAAATCGGATAGGCGGATCAAACCGGGTAGCTCTGTTTTTTCGTGATAAATGCTACTATCTTTGGCTAATTTGTGTTATTAGTTTTAGATTGATGCCATCATTATTTTGAGATGAACCGTGCCCACGTGCACACGATACTTTTTTTTGAAAGAAGTTCAAAATTTTCTGGCCAAGAAAGACCGAAATCAGGGCAACCTCATCGAGTCGTTATGGATTTTTTCTACACAGAGCATCTGCTTCGGTAAATGCAGCATTGCATTCTGTACATATTAGAGAGTATATCGCATTAGTTTTGATCGTCATTTTGTACGCCGGAATATACAGCCGTGTTTGTTATTTTCTTCGTGTTGGGGCAAAACCGGGTACCTACACACTTCATGTAATGAAAAGAGAAAAAATTGTTATCCTGACTTTGTCTCCCTACAAAAAGCAGTTGGAAACGAAAACTAACGAAAACTATCAGAAAAAGAAACTATTAAAAAAAATTTTTTTGAAACCCGTAAAGTTAAAAAATTAAATAAGAAAGTCCTCCAGCAATGTAGAACAAGAGGATATCTTTATTTGTGATTTTTGTCAATAGAATCATCTTTGTATTGTATTTTGATTAAAATAAATCTAAATTTTGTAATTGCACGGTGTTTTTACATGTTTTCAAATGGGTACCCGGTTTTACCCTACCGATAGGGTAAAACCGGGTATTTTGACTACTCCAAAAAATCTTGTTATCTTTGGTAACCAAATATTTTTTTTCAGCAACTAGCCTCATTTTCTCATAGTTTAAGGTCCACTAAAGACTACTAACGGTCAGCAAAATTTTTTTTATTCTCTGATTTTTTTG